TCATATTCATTAACAGCTATATATAGGCCAGAGTCATGTGAGTGATATCACTGTTCACTGCCATGCAGGACAGTGGTTCATATACATTAGGAGTCATATTCTAATTGAAGACTAATCATTGTGGGCTAGCAAATTTTGGATAAACAGCAAGAATGTCCTCAAGCACCCCTGATTCAATGTTCATGATACAATAAGCCAGGTGGCCTGAAGTCTATGACAGTGTCACATTCAATAATATAGTGGTCAAGGTATGCTTTAAAGGTTTATCACAAAGTTTACATTCCGAGTGTTCCGGTATGGGTACAGCGTCACTTGCCAGATGTGTCTGTATCCTAGCCTAATTCTGTCCACGACTACATCACATTGTCTAGTTCTGTCCTTATGCTGGCCATACCGGCACCTCTTGTCACAAAATCTTTCATATTTACTAATGCTACAACTACCAGGTCTCTGCATTTCTCAGTTCTTCTCGATCAGAGTTCATGATTTTGACTTGAATGTTTTTAAGTGCAGCATTGGACAGGCCAAGGTCACAGAGAGAGAGAGAGAGATCATGTACAGGATGTGTGTGTAAGCCTACCCAGCCTCCTCTCAGTGGAGATGTTTGGGTGAAAATATTGCATTATTATTCAGCTTGTCATGTAATTTTGATGACAAATTATATATAATATTTTTTTCTAGTGTTGAATATTTTGTATTATCAATAATAAAACATACACCAGCCAGCCTCCCTCCCCCCTCCCTCTAACTCAGTGTCTCACAAGACTTTAAGCTCTAGATGTTGTGGTGTTGAAGTTTTAATTAATGAATAATAACTGGCCTAAGGTTAAAAATGCTTTGAAAGCATTTGAGGTGGATGTTGGGTAGATGATTAATGGGTCTCTGTTTTTTACCTGGCCTGTTGTTATGTCACCCATTTTTTTATAAGCTCTTCTTTCGTTTACAGTGGAGGTATTGTATGGATTAGTGGATCCCATGTTATTGACCTGACCTGATGTTATATATATAAGCTTCCCTCAGTCCCTTTAAATTCAGTTGCCTCTGAAGATGTCTTGAATATAGACGAAAGCCAAGGTGCTCCATTGTAGTTAGTTGACCGAGAGGAAGCAGTGAACAACACACATGGTGGCAGCAGGACACAGACTGAGTGATTGTAAACAAATCCGACGTGTGGCACATTTGGTGCAGAATTTAACAAAGTCACGCTCGATTTCGTGAAATAGTTTGGTAAATCGAGCAAAAATAATGGAAATTCGATTTAGTGGAAATTTCAGTTTAAAGGAAAAGGGTGGCTCGAATTTGTCTGTTAAATCGAGAAAATATTGTATGTGTACTGTACATGTAATTACTAATTTAAAAAAAAATATCACTTACCATCACTGTAGGCGAAGAATGAAGCATTGTAGTAGATGACACTGACGCATGGTTGGGGACACAGAGGAATGGTAGGTGACACGGGAGAATGGTAGGTGATGCAGGAGAATGGTAGGTGATGCAGGAGAATGGTAGGTGACACAGGAGAATGGTAGGTGACGCAGGAGAATGGTAGGTGATGCAGGAGAATGGTAGGTGATGCAGGAGAATGGTATGTGACACAGGAGAAGGGTAGGTGATAGAGGGGAAACGGTACATAAACAGTGAACAGTACGGCACTTATGTATACTACTGTAATTTGGTCACGTACAAAATAAAGAAACAATTTTAAAAAAGTAACTGATTCTCTACGTATAATTCAAGTTTGAATACTGTATGTACATAAACATGTAACTTATATCACTAAGGATATTATTGTCCACCTTAGTGAAACTGTTTTCTTTACTACAGAGCAAAAGAGTAAAAATTAAAATACTCTAGTGTGGCTTCAAAATAAAGAAAATATAATATAAAATTATAAAATATGAAAAAAGTGTGGGTGCATGCATGTGCATGTGTGTGTGTCGTGCATTGCCTTCGTCCGCCGGTGTAATCATTGGGTTCCAATGGTGGTCAGCTTTTCCGCTTATACCTCCGTTGGGGTCTTGTTAAAGCTCCGTAAGCATATCTGCCTGATGCGGGGCTCCACCACAGATTTTTCGTTCAGGGTTTACTCCCGTAGCCTTATGCCTACCAAGGTTAATCCGCAAGGCAGCGGGGCAGTGGTTGGAAGGTGCCAGGACGTGTCCACATGCTAGTGGGCCTATGCACCGTCCCTCTGGGGCCCACTGCTACTCTGAGATCCCCTGCTTGTCTATCCTGGGCCCACGAGGCACCCAGTAACTGTGTGTTGCCACGAGGAGACACAGCAGGAGTCTTGATGGTAAAGAGGCTGTGTACTGGCAGGGGAAACTTATGCAAGTTGCTTCCCTGTTCGCCACGAGGACTAGCCATCGGCGGCAGCTGAAAGCAAGAGGAAGCAAGCAGTGCTTGCACCTTAACACTAACATAATGCTGCCAGACTAGATGTATTTCACCACCCTGTGTGTGAACACACACACACACACAGGGGTCTGGCTATACCTTTTTCTGGAATGGTCAGCCTACTGTGGAGAGAAATCGCATTTATGAAGTTGGCTTTGCCATCCACCAACACATCCTACAGAGGCACTCTGAAATGCCTGTTGGGATCAACGAGCACCTCATGACGCTCCGAATTGAACTGAATCACTCACGTCATGCCTTTTTCATCAGTGCATACTCCCCAACACTGGATGCAGAGGATGACATCAAGGAGGCCTTTTACGCTAACCTCTATCCCCAGAGAAGACAAGATTGTGCTTCATGGTGACTTCAATGCCAGAGTTGGCAGAGATGCTGACATTTGGCAGGGAACCGTAGGGAGAAATGGACTAGGCAAATGTAACCCCAATGGCTACTCCTCAGCAAGTGGGCTGCACACAGCCTCACTATCACCAATACCTTGTTTGGGCAAGCCAACAAGCTCAAGGGTTCATGGCAACACCCACGATCCAAACACTGGCTTCTCATTAATTACATCATTGTCAGAAAAAGAGATCGCCGAGATGTCCTATCACCCGTGCCATGCGTGGCTCAGACCACTGCGACACTGATCATCGGATTGTCAGAGCCAAGCTATCACTTCACATCGCCCCAAAATGGCGAAGGTAGCAAGCCTCCAGAAGAGGTTTTAACGTAGTCTACGTTCCATCTCCGTGTTCGCTGGGAAGACAAGAGAACAAATGCCAGTATTCTTGCTGACACCAACTGTAGGAGCATCGAGGCTACCATTTTCCTTGAACAACTACGTTAGACTGGCCATGTTACCCACATGGACGACAGTAGACTGCCAAAGCAGCTACTTTACAGTCACCTAACGAATAGTAAGCGTAACACTAGCATGCAATTGAGAACGCATAGGCATAGTCTTAAGACAAACCTGAAAAGTGCCATATCAACCCCCTCGCCTGGGAGTCGATTATCCACATCGTAACACTTGGAGGAGCACCACACGAGAAGGTGCCAATACTTTTGAGTCAGCCCGATTGCAGACTGAGGCAGACAAGCGCCAATGCCGGAAAGATGCTGCCACTGCCCCTCCCACACTAGATGCAGCTCCCCACATGTGCAACATCTGTGATCGACCCAGTCGGTTTCGTATCGACCTCTTTGGTCTCCTCAAAACTCACCAACCTAGGTGACATCCCTAATAACTCAAATTATTGTATCATAGCTAGATGATCGTCATACAGTGGTCCCTCGGTTAACGAGCACAATCCGTTCTAGAAGGTTGCTTGTTAACAGAAAAACTCGTTAACTGAAACCATTGTTTCAATGGGTTTTGGGGTAATTGGTTCCAGCTCACCGAAAATTGCCTAAATTCAACAAAAAAGGTAGAAAAGTACACGTTGAGGTGTGTATGTAGAAGGCTCCTGGATGATGATGATGATGGGAATTAGAATGGGGGTGGAGAAGAAGAGAAGGCATTGGGGTGGAAGAGAAGTCACCCCATGGAGCCATTTCACCCATAAAATTTTAGTTCTCTTGGTGTAATTCAAGATTATTTTCTTTAAATCAACACTGCACTGCATTATATATTGTCAATATGTAAAATAAATTTCAAGTGACTAATAATTTGCTTGGAAACACAGAAAAAATGCATTTAGTTGAAGAGTCTCTCTCAAGCAAGATGTTACCTCCACTGTGTGTTGGCAGGCTGGATGGCATGTTCAATAATTGTTAAAATTACTAAAAAATTTAATATTAAACTTTTAAAATTATTGAATAGTATAAACTTCTTGATATTTACTAAAATGGTAAGGAATTTAAGCCCTAGAACCAATTACTGTACTGGCGGACTAATACTACAGCTGGTGGACCGCCAAATGCAAGTCGGCTCGTAAGAAACTCGTTAATCGAGGGATTGCTCGTTAACCGAAGTTAAGAATCTTATGGAAGGTAACTCGTTAACCGAAATCTCGTTAACCGAGGCACTCGTTAACCGAGGGACCACTGTACTCAATTCAGAGTGACAGCAAAGTAGTAGTAGAGACAGTCTAGGGTGGCAAGTTCAAGTCTGTACCAATCTTTGCTGATCCATCACCACTCTTATTACTTCTTATTATGCCTTATCACATCACATCAAGCTGCCCCTAAGAGGGGGGCATGATTGCATAACACTAATTCAGAAATACAGTAATGAAAAAACACGAATTCAGAGACACATGGTAAGGATAAACAAGTGCAGAGAGACAGGAATGAGTCAGACAGTGTACAGAAACTTCTCAGGGCAAGAATTCGCACCACGTCACCGCCCACTAAATTCAAAATAACTGCCGCTCCTCTCCTGATCATTGGATTTCCGGGGTATCAACGAAACTTGCGGAGGTATTTCCCATAATGTAATCGTCGGTTAATGGCACGTCAGTTTTCGGGGTACACCTGTATATTTTTAATCAGCTCATTATTTTGGGAACAATTAATTAGTCAGGAGGTTTTATATGTGGAAATACAAACTTTGTTTAGTTTTCATTAGGAGAGTTTGATATGTTTGTTCCCACTTTCAGATGTGATGGACAGTCAGAGTGTGAAGACAAGAGTGATGAGCTCAGTTGTCCACTACCCATGTGTCCCTCTCAGTTTCGGTGTACAAACAGTCAGTGCATTGGTGAGTAGTGAAATATTTACAGTTTGTAGCCCCTAACTGTCTGGGGGAATTGGTAATATTCTTTTTTATAAATAATATATATACTGTACACTATATAATATATATATGTGTTAGGCTCAAGAAGAGAATAACGACCACAATGCATTGTGATTTAGAAAATGACCAGAAAGGAAAATTTTGCTATAGGTTAGGTTTGATTATAACAGATTTGTTAAGATTAGTTTGAGAAAACGATAGATTTTTTATTTATTGTTATTATTTTCAATCCAGAATGCGTCGTCTAGCTTTATACCTAGGTATGTAAATGCTTAGCATTAACTCATATATATATATATATATATATATATATATATATATATATATATATATATATATATATATATATACAGTATATATATATATATATATATATATATATATATATATATATATATATATATATATATATATATATATATATATATATATATATATATATATATATATATATATATATATATATATATATATATATATATATATATATATATATATATATACAGTATTACCCCGCTTAACGCGCTTTCACTTAACGCGTTTTCGCATATACGCGGTGCCTTGCCAAAGCTGAACTTTCACTTAACGCGGATTTTTCCACAGCAACGCGGTGAGTGTCCGGCTCGAGAGCTATTTTTAGATTCGCACCACCCCCCACCCGCCACCCTGCCTGACTGCCTGTTTTAGCTCATAAAATTCATACAAATTACCCAGCCAGAATATAGTTTACATTGCTGGAATTCTTATAATTTGGTGATCATTTTGAATATAAACAACATATTTTTTGCATTAAACATACAATTTTTAGATAAAATGTTTAATCTGAGTAAGTATGTTATCTTTTGTCCAAAATATATGACATTTATATTCAAAATATTCCTGGTCTTACAAGGAATCCAGCAATGTCAATTATATTATCCTAACTTTAGTTTGAGGTATTATTTATTAAAATTTAGTGGTTATCCCACACATCTCCTTGGGACGGTTGGTGGGGGGTGGGGGGGAGGGAGGGACCAACCGACCGACCATCTGTTACCCGGTGAAGAATTATTTTTTTTTAACTGAAGATATTTGTTTTAGCTCATAAAATTCATACAAATTACCCGGTCAGAATATAATTTACATTGCTGGAATTCTTATAATTTGGTGATCATTTTGAATATAAACAACATATTTTTTGCATTAAACATACAATTTTTAGATAAAATGTTTAATCTGAGTAAGTATGTTATCTTTTGTCCAAAATATATGACATTTATATTCAAAATATTCCTGGTCTTACAAGGAATCCAGCAATGTCAATTATATTATCCTAACTTTAATCTGAGGTATTATTTAATACTAAATGTTAAAAACTCTTGAATGGAGGATTGGTGGGGGGTGGGGGGAGGGTTGGGACTGACCGCCCGGTTGGAAGAGGGGGGGAAGGCAAGGTGGGGTACTTTGATTGACAGATAGTGTTGAAGAATATATTTTTTTTTTTATTAACTGTAGATATTTGTTTTAGCTCATAAAATTCATACAAATTATCCGGCCAGAATATAATTTACATTGCTGGAATTCTTATAATTTGGTGATCATTTTGAATATAAACAACATATTTTTTGCATTAAACATACAATTTTTAGATAAAATGTTTAATCTGAGTAAGTATGTTATCTTTTGTGAAAAATATATGACATTTATATTCAAAATATTCCTGGTCTTACAAGGAATCCAGCAATGTCAATTATATTTTCCTAACTTTAGTTTGAGGTTATCCCACACATCTCCTTGGGACGGTTGGTGGGGGGTGGGGGGGGGGAGGGAGGGACCGACCGACCATCTGTTAGCTGGCTGTGTACTGTAGTGTGAGAGGGGGAGGGAGTTGAGTCCATTATTTGAATGGACATTAACTTGGCGACTGTATTTCTCTTAAGTATTAATTGTGTGCATGTACCATCATAAAATTAAGATGTTATTTTTACTACAACATAGTTATTTGTCGTCAAAAAGTGGAGTTTGGGGGTCGGGCTGGGTTCTATTGGAATTAATCCCATATGTTCTGTTATTCACTTAACGCGGTTTTCACTTAACGCGGGACCCTCTGGGTTCAATTGACCGCGTTAAGTGGGGTACCACTGTATATACACAGTCAACCCTCACTTTACGCGGTCCCACATTCCGCGTTTCCACGTTTACGCGGTGCCCTGCCAGAACCCAGGATGCTCACATTCCGCGGTGGGTGTACCCCTTTACATGGGTGAAGTATAATTTTTTTTAATTTAGCTCATAAAATTCATACAAATTATCCGGCCAGAATATAATTTACATTGCTGGAATTCTTACAATTTGATGATCATTTTGAATATAAACATCATAGATTTTGCATTAGACATACAAATTTTAGATATAATGTTTACTCTTGAGTAAATATGTTATCTTTTGTGCAAAATATATGATATTTATATTCAAAATATTCCTGGTCTTACAAGGAATCCAGCAATGTCAATTATATTATCCTAACTTTAGTCTGATTTATTATTTATTACTAAAAAGGTAAACAGTCTGGTATTCCCACACATTTATCTAGTAGGGACGTTGGTGGGAGGGAGGGAGGGACCGGCGACCGACCATCTGTTACCGTGTGAAGAATATTTTTTTTTTTATTAACTGAAGATTTTTATTTTAGCTCATAAAATTCATACAAATTACCCGGCCAGAATATAATTTACATTGCTGGAATTCTTACAATTTGATGATCATTTTGAATATAAACATCATATATTTTGCATTAGACATAAAATTTTTAGATAAAATGTTTAATCTGAGTAAGTATGTTATCTTTTGTGCAAAATATATGACGTTTATATTCAAAATATTCCTGGTCTTACAAGGAATCCAGCAATGTCAATTATATTATCCTAACTTTAATCTGAGGTATTATTTAATACAAAATGTTAAAATCTAAATTTTTCACCCAACATCTCTTGAAGGGAGGATTGGTGGGGGGTGGGGGGGAGGGTTGGGACTGACCGCGCGGTTGGAAGAGGTGGTACTTTGATTGACAGATAGTGTCGTGAAGAATATTTTTTTTTTTTATTAACTGAAGATATTTGTTTTAGCTCATAAAATTCATACAAATTACCCGGCCAGAATATAAATTACATTGCTGGAATTCTTACTATTTGATGATCATTTTGAATATAAACATCATAGATTTTGCATTAGACATACAAATTTTAGATGTAATGTTTAATCTGAGTAAATATGTTATCTTTTGTGAAAAATATATGACATTTATATTCAAAATATTCCTGGTCTTACAAGGAATCCAGCAATGTCAATTATATTATCCTAACTTTAGTTTGAGGTATTATTTATTACTATACCTGGTTTTCCCCCCAAAATTTCTGAGGGAAGAGCCAGTGAGTGTAGTGTGAGAAGAGGAGGAGGGAGTCGTGTCCATTATTTGAATGGACATTAACTTGGCGACTGTATTTCTCTATTTCTCTTAAGTATTAATTGTGTGCATGTACCATCATAAAATTAAGATGTTATTTTTACTACAACATAGTTATGTGTCGTCAAAAAGTGGAGTTTGGGGATCGGCCTGGACTCCATTTCAATTAATCCCATATGTTATGTTATTCACTTTACGCGTTTCTCGCTTTCCGCGGTACCCTCCGGGTTACATTAACCGCGTAAAGTGAGGGTTAACTGTATAATTTATTTTACTTTTTTTGTTTTTTTTGTCCCAATTATTCACGTGGAAGTAATGAATACCATGATGTATGTGGCCATCCCTCTCCCTCTTCTCATGTTCGTTCACGAAATTTTTCGGGCTTCTACCCTGGGTTTTCTGATTATAATAGTTGCTTCTTTGTACCAGAATGCCACAGTAATGGGGAGAACATAATACAGTTGAGTCTGGATTTACGCGGTTTTGGTTTACGTGTTTTGTCATTTACGCGGTGCCTTGCTTGAATTGAAATGCTTGATTTACGCTGCAAATTTGGTCATTTATGCGGGAAGCAGCGCGTGCAGGGTGCGAACAAGGTCGCCCAGTCATCAAAGCATTACCGAGTTCGTCACCCACCACCCACCACAGCCAGCCCAAGTCAGTGATAGTGAAGATGTGGACTTTGAGGGGTTTGACAAAGAGGCCCTGCAAGCCTCTGTGGTGGATAGTGATACAATTGAAACAAGTGATGCAGGTGAGGGCCAATAATCTGCCCTCTACCTCGGAACCAACCCCCCATCCCCGTGTGCCCAGCCATCTTTTCTACTAATGTAAGTGTTAAAAAACCTAATATTATTGATATTTCTCTTAATTATTAATTGTGTGCATACCATCATAAAATTAAGTTGTTATTTTGATTACAAGGTATGTATTGTGTCGGAAAAAGTGGAGTTTGGGGGTCGGCCCAGTCTATTTCAATTAATCCCACATGTTCTGTTATTTCATTTACGCGTTTTTCGTTTTACGTGGTACTCCGCGGGTTCAATTGACCGCGTGAATGAAGACCCAACTGTATCTCTACCTTTACCAACAGTGTATCTGTTAAGATGACTCTTAGTGCGATATAACAGTTATTTGTGAAACTGTCATATATGCAACAACCTTCTTGGGTTGTCACCACTTGTAACAATCACTTGAGAAGCACGTTACCTTATATTTTAGACATACTAAAATATAGATCAGAGTTTATTGGATCTTCTGTGGTGAAATCCAATGTGTTCCTTTGTTCATTTATTAAGAAACTACAGTAAAACCTCGATCAACCGACTTTTGGATTAACCGTCAATCCCGAACCCCTAATTTTTTTTTTTTTTTTTTTAACGGGGATTAGCCCACCCGGGCACAGGGTGCTGACCCACATCGGGGCCTGGGGGGTAATAATGTAATAATATTAATAATGATAATGCTAATAATAATAATTAAGAACCATAAAGAAATGCAAAAATGAAAAAAAATCAAGAGT